TGTGTGTGTGTGTGTGTGTGTGTGTGTGTGTGTGTGTGTGTGTGTGTGTGTGTGTGTGTGTGTGTGTGTTACAGCATGGTACGGTGGAGGGGCCTGCCTGCCTCCACTGCTGTTGCTCTTACTGCAAGGCTGTTGTGACAGGAATAGTAATGGGCTCACTCCATACGATGGATGGAGAGTGTAAGGGCATTACAGCACACACACACACATTCACACGCGCACACACACACAGAAATACAGTCATGCGCACGCAGTATGGAACATTTTCTGGTGCAGCTGCACTATGCTTCATCCATTCTTCATGGCAACGTAAATATTCCCACCACATATGGCACTCTGTGGACAGGCGGCTCACACTCACACACATGCACGCACAAAAAAAAAAAAAAAACTCAGTTACAGATACCAACCCAGCATTGCTGCTAATCCCATCGCCCCCAGCTGTCAAAATCAGCCCTCCATCCAATCCCCATTGCTCAGCCCGGTCCTCAGTCTCTGCAGGCTTTCCGGAGAGAACCTGTAGGTCGCTGGTTTGTGCAAAGCTGTGATGTGAGTGCTCTTTTACCGGCTGTTCAGCTGAGAGTATGTGCTTTCTTAGGCCCCAGTGGAAATTGAACCTGTGCAAGGGACAAGCTCTGCACCTTTTGGAACAGTATTAAGTCATGAATGCAGAATAAGTGTGATAACTTAAGTTTGGCTGTCACCCTTATACCCAGTGGTTGATTAGAGCTGAGGGTAATTCTTCACTTGCTTTGGAAAAGCTGCAAACCAGCTTCATCTCTGCTGTATGTTAAAGATTGCAGCTCTGCACACATCTCTCTCTCTATCTCTGTTAAGGACCACCTCTCTTCCTCACTGCCCTCCTTTTCCCTTATGCACGCTACGTTTGTCTCAGTATTTTATTTTCCTTTTATGTCTCCCATCCTGTGTTGTGCACAAATTTCCCTGTTGTTGCCAGTCCTGGGCTCTCAGGAATGCTCTGGAGAGACAGGTTGCGGATGAGAGAACAGTCACTATGCCGCTGCTTCTACCTGTGAGGGCTTAATGATAAAAATAGACTAGTGCTGGGAACATGAATATTTAACTTAATGCGGGCATCTCTTTTTTTGTTTGGGGGGGATTACAATTGTGCGCTTAGAGTATTGACAGCATTTGTGAGGGTGGCAGGGGTTTTGAGGCATGACCCCATTTATAAGTGCGACAAATTTGAACCATCAAGGGCAGCTTAACAAGCGTGACGCAAAGCCACAAAACAATCCATGGTTTGAAGTTGCGTACATGCATGTGTGCAGACTGGCGTTTAAAAGTTGGAAGACATGTTCATATTGAGCACATGTCCCATTTACTCCCAATCCTCCTTTCCTTTCATTGAGCAGGGTCCTCTATCAGGATCGTACCTGACTTACACCTCTTTAACTCCAAAATTAGCAGGTATTTTTGAAGTATTTAAAACACATTTAAAATATACACAAGGCAATTAATTCCTTGCCTGTATTTTTCTCCCCAATGCCAAAAAAGAAAGTAATTAGTGCGTTCATCCCACTTTCATTTTTCTTAACTCCTTTGATCTGGGAGTAAATGCTGATGGTCTCCATTGTAGCTGGGTGTTGTTTTTTTTGACCAGTGGAAAAGGGGCTTTACACACACATACCATCCTTTCATCTGAATCACAGCTCTGCTAAGCTAGCAGTGCAACAACCCGAATAACTCTGTTTAGTCATCACTCCGACGCAGGGCAGCTCTCTTCTCTTCACAGAAGGAATGTCAGAGACTGTCGCTGTCCACTCTCCGCGGTGCTGAAAGCTGCCCCCCCATCCTCCTTGACTCCAGCAGCTCACGGCTGCAGAGCGCTGTCCAAGGTGCTGATTTATAGCCTTCATTACACGGCAGGGTTATAGCCCGGGAGAGGACAGCACAGGGATTTGCATAAAGCATCAGCATGAAGGGTTGTGTGGATGTTTGTTTGCAGCAGTGTATTTTTGCACTGCACACCCTATAAAAATATGCAAAGATGAAAGAAATAATTCTCAGGGAAATAAAAAAAACAAGTCAACTAAAAGAGGTGTGTGCATGTTCAATCACGGCCAGATTTACATATTCATAAGTTGTCATGTTGCTCTCACACCAAATTGTTAATTATCCGCACACAGTTTTTTTCTCTTCTGAGCACTTGAGAGGTTGAGTGCCAGCAGTGTAAGGAGGCAAGATGCAATCAAGAGTTGAAGGGAAGGTGAAGTTACAGGGATCCATTTGCAGCACAGAGCGGGTGTAATGGCAGAGCATGTCTCAATTTTTGAAGCACAAGAGGGAAGCTGTTACTGTCTGAAAGATGGAGTGATGTGGAGAGACGGATGGCAAAAAGGGGGAGAGGGTTCAAGAGTTGTTCATATCCTTCCTAGCAGGTGCAGACTAATTTTGTGGTATATGCTGTGTCTTAGAGTTGGTTTTCTAGCTCACACAGGTCATGGTTTATGTCTCGCTTTCTGGTTTTCAAATATGTGAAGTACCATTTTAAATAAGCTGTTATTGCTGCTTATGGAATTCAGAGATACATTTTTTAGTTTTTATTTAGTTCATTTAAGTTTTGTGTAGGCTGATGTTGTGCTATATGCTGTGTTTTTTTTTAGTTGGTTTTCAGGTCATGGTGTATTTCTCGCTTTGGGCTGAGTACCATTTCAGATATTTTCGGTATTGTAAATAAATATGCTGCACCTAAAGCATTAATTCTGTCATCTTTACAGTGATAAGTCACAGTTTATATGCTGGGACAGTCAGAGCACTCATGATTAATGGTACTCCATAACGAGGAAATTTGAGTTTGTTCAAAATGCCTGGGCCCTTGTTATTAAGCAAAAGTGATTTCATGCTACTTCTCCAAATGTTTGTTACTGTCTGCAGTTTTTCATTTATGTTTTCTGTCGCTCATTATTGTGTCGGATCGGTTTATTTGTTCTGGTATAATGAGTGGGTAGTTTTTATTATGTAACCGTAATTGAATATTGCTCATAAGTTCTGCCCTGGACAAACTATGAAGAGCGGCTCAGCTGGTCGTCTGACAGCTGCTAGTTGGATCACTGCAGATAGATCATGCTCTTTTCTCTGGAAGCTCATTTAGAAAATATGACAAAGATTTCTTCTTTTAGATAAGATTCATTTTATTGATCCCATGCATGGAACTTACTTGTATTATTGCCTTAATAAAGAAATCTTTTACAAACAATTTCAGCTGATTTAACACTACATATGACTGGAGTAGGAAATACTGGGTTATCAATAAATTCATAATGCCGATATGACCATCAAAAAATGGTTAATTAACATCTGACATGCATTGATTCAGTGAATCCATTATGCGTGTGAAAGTTATTTCAATGTCCACTACTAACAATAAAGTCTATGGTTAGAACAGAATGAAAATATATTGAACAGCATATCATACAAAGCATAAAAATCAGGGTTTTATTTAATTAAAATTAGAGATGTTCCGATACTGATTCTTGGTATTTGCGTACCGATCGGATACCAGCGGAAGTGATGATTACTGTCATTTTTGTTATGGCCTATTGCTAGTGTTGTAATTGGCAACACCAGGCCACTTCAGCTGCCATCACATTCAGATGTAATAAGTCTTCATGCAGCCATGGTGGTCAATGACCTCAGTGTGACTGCTCTTCTATAGGTACATGCAAAGAATGGGCAACATCATGTAATGGATTAAAATGGATTTCTTTCCAGATATGTATTTTCTGGTTCTCAATTGTTTTATTTATTATGTTTTCACAACAAGCACTGGACATACTAAAGTGTTTTTCATTGTTTTCTTAAATTGTATTGAGAAAACATTTGTGCTGTAGATTACAGTTTTCGATCTATCCATTCAAACATCCATACATCCATCCACCGCCACTCCAGCCAGTCCGCTCTCTTGGTCAGAGCTGTGAATGGGGTTGTAATGTAGTTACAGTATGGCTGACTGCATAATACTGCAAAATGATCCCCAGGGCCCTCTCCTAGGGAGGCAGTTGTTGTGCATGCTCAACGTCATTATTCTCTGTCTACCCACTTTGCAAGTTATCTACTGTGAATGGAGAGAGAAAGAGAAAAAGAGAGAGATCGCTTGCTTGCTAATACAGAACCACAGGCACTTGTTACATGGAAAGGTACAGTAGCTCTTAAGCTGCACACAAAAAAGATTTCAGCATTTTCAGTAGCTTAGTGCGTAAGTGTATCATCTCCACATGAGTAGAGAGACACACAGGCCTATTGTAGCATGCATTATGGAATCGTATAGGGTACATTCAATACTTTATTGCCATGTCAACCAAGTAGGATGGTGCTGTAGATAACAGTATTATTCATAATAGACTCGGGAAAAACTCTGTTTTTCAAAACCCAACCAAATTTATTGACCACTTTAGTATTGCATAATGTTACAGCCACTGTTTCGGGTCCTACCAGCCTTTTCCACTTCTTTACATTTTAACTCTATTTCTCACACAATACCATGCTTATGAAATCAACTGCTTAAGAGTCTGTGCTTTTTTCAGCCAACCAACCACCGTGCAAAAGTCCAAATATAGATTGTAATTATATATCTCTTAATTTAATTTATTAAAGGTAGGTATTAATGAAACCGTGGTACAATGGCTTACGTAAGGGGAGGGCAGATGAATGGGTTTTCTTGCTAATTAGAGTATGAGTAGTGGGTGTC